ATATTCATAACAAATTTTAATGAAGCATTGATAAAGTCATATATGTGGATGAAAAAAGGTTTTAGGCTCGATCAAGAAACCGATCCAGATGAATTCATTTAACCTTTTTTGTTGTAATCTAGGCAGCACGGTGGTGAACTGGTAGAGCTGCTGCCTCTCAGCAATCAGGTCCCCGGTTCAAATTCCGCTCAGGGGGCCTTTCTGGGTGGAGTTTGTATGTTCTCTCCGTGCATGCGTGGGTTTTCTCCGGGTATTCCAGTTTCCTCCCACAGACCAAAAACATGCATGTTAGACTGATTGGTAACTCTAAATTGTCTCTATGTGTCCCTGTGATGGACTGGAGACCCGTCAAGGGTGTACCCCTCCCCTCACAAAGTGATTGCTGGACATGGGCACCGGCGACCCACGTGACCCAAAATGGAAGATGTGGGTAAAAATGGATGGATGTTGTAATCTATGGATGCAACTGAACAACTGTTGTAGTCAGCCTGATTTAAGATGGCTGCCACAGCTAGTGGAACCAAACCGCAGCAAAGCTACAGATGAGTCATTTTAACAGATACTGAGCTACAGTCTGATGTGGTCGCAGAGAGTCTTCCCAACACACTGCCAAGTGTTGTTTTCAAGGTTTATCCAAAAGAGCTGTTGCTAAATCTTATTTGATCTGACTTTACGTGCAGCACCTCTCACAGTTTAGGAAACACTAAAAATCTACTAAAACCTGAAATAATGGATCTGTTGATCACTTAAGGAAGGATTCACACCAGAATCATGTTTCACAGCTCAAAGAAAGACTGCACTAAACGTTTAAAAGCACACAGTCATCTTTAAAATGTGCACCTAAGCCACACATAAAACACACACACACACACACCAAATTACACAACTTTAAAGTACACTGCCACCCTTGGGTAAATACACAATGTGCTGACTCATTCTAAGCACACTAAAGAAATGAAGCAGGAACAGTAACAGCAAGAATACAAGTGCAGCACAGTTCAAAACCCAGTTCAAAGCTGTTTTTTGCTGCTTTTCTTTTTGACCATCTTATTTTAATTTGTAAAAAAAAAAATCTGTATGCCTCTTTTATGGTTGTCCACTGTTGTCATCACTCTTTGTTTAAATCGGGTCTCTCTTGTAAATGAGTCCCTGAGACTCAATGAGACAAACCTGTAGAAATAATGCTTGAATGAATGAAAAAGTCATGGTGTGTGTGTGTGTGTGTGCGTGTGTGCGTGTGTGTGTGTGTGTGTGTGTGTGTGTGTGTGTGTGTGTGTGTGTG